AAATTTTTTTAATATTATTTTAAAAATAATTTATAATTATATAGGATATATACAAAATTAACCATACATGAATATATTTACGTTTATTTCTTGAAAAATAATTTTTAAAAAATTACTTTATAAACTTTCTTATATATTTATTTACCATTAGAAAAGTTGGTTAACGAAAATACTTTCCAATCAAAAACATTTAACTTGATTTTAAGGAAAGTATTTTCTTTTTATTTTGGATAGAAAATACTTTCCGGAAGTTGTAAAAAATTTAGAAATGTTATATTATTTGTTGATTATATCACATTTGATTCTCAAATTTTTAATTGCTATATATATTTTGTTTTAAATATTTATTTTTCAATCTCATCTCTTAAAATTTAATTTTTATATTAACTTTAATCCTCATTTTTATAGTTATTATTTGTTTTTTTCTTATCATTTTTGAATTGAAAATTTTTTCTATCAAATTTGGTTCTTATTATTTTGATTGTTACTAATTTTATTTGAAATAATTTATAAAATATTAATTATTATTATTTTAATTTCTTCATCTTTTAATTTTTAATTTTTTAGATTTGATCTCTATTATTTTGATTATTATTTATTTTATTTGAGATAATTTATGAAATTATATTTTTTTTTCAATTTTATTCCCATTCAACTTTTTAATTTGTAAGATTTGTTCCTCATTATTTTAATAAAATTGAGAAAAATAAAACAATAATAAGTTATTTTTTAGTTTATTTTCTATAATATAACCAAACACTGAAAATTATTTTTCAATTTATTTTTTATTATAATACCAAACATAAAAAAATAATTTATTTTTTTGAAATTCACTTTAAAAAAATACTTTCTAACAAATAAACGGAAAAACGAGGGAGAGATGTAAATTCAGAGATTTCAATCTCTGATCATTTCAAATTTCAGAAGAGTGATTAATTAAGAAAAATGGAAGAGGGATTTCAAACTCAATCACATAAACTGTTTGATACTGAGATGATATTTCATTCTCTTATTTTCAAGTCAAATGCCATAATTATTTTCATAATACAATTTCAACCACGTCAGTTTTTTTGAAGAAAAAAATTAACAACAATAATAAAAATATTGGGAAATCAGACAATTAATTGAGTTTAAGGCCAAAAACTAAATTAAATAAATTCATAAATAATTTGGGGATAAATTTGAAAGAAAATTAAGAAAGTATTTTAAATTGGTCTAAAATTGTAGATTTGGGAAGTCAATGACTGAAATATAAAAGGGGGGGAAATTAAGGGGTCTATTGCAATTCAATTGGGAAAAAAATGGAAAAAGATTAAGGGAAAAAGAGCAAAATTGGCCTAAAATTGAATAGTTTGGGAACATAATGACTAAAGTGTAATACTGAAAACATGCCGGGTTCACATTATGTTTGTTGAAGGCTTAATTGAAAGAAATTTGGAGATAAAAGTCCAAAAAGCTAAATTGAAAGTTTATCTAATAAAGGACTAAAATCAAACACTGGCAGACATTGAGGGACTGAATTAATTGTGGCTCTTGGTAAAACGGCGTTGGCTAGGAAGTTAACCCCAATTAGAGCATAAAACAACGACTTGTCGTTTTATTTATTATGGAGCGACGTGTCACCCATAGTTATAATCGACGTGTCGTTCCTTAAAAAAAAAGGATCTTCATATTCCTGGAAAAAACGTTGAACCTGCCGCGAACTCAGCTGATGGCTGATCTTCAGCCTCACATTCCACCCATGATCGTCTCTTAACAAAAGAAAAAAAAAGGTGATGCACACACTATGACATTCCAGCTACAATCTTGAGGAAATAAAACCCGTTTTTATGCCACAATCCATTCCCACGAATCAAGCAAAGTGGCAACCGTCACTAGCTCTTGAAACTCCAGCACCCAGGATGATATCAAGCGCAGGTTCATCGAGAATTCAAGGGTTGATATCTTTCCCGTCCTTCATTAATGCTAAAGGACTCTTAAGACTCATGTCTACCTATAAAAAAAAGGAGAGAATGCTGACAGAAGAGACACACGAGAGCAGAGAGGAAAGTTGAAAAACAATACGAAAAGGCTGTGGGAATTTTGTGTGACAACAACTTTCCTGACCAAGAGAAGTGTTTCTGGACAGGAGCTAGCTCTTGATTCAATAAATTTTGCTTAGCCTGCACCAAAAACAGGTATGATGCACTTTCATTTCAGTTCTTACACTTGTAATATATCTTCTGATTGTTCTTGAACAATTGGTTCCAATGGTTGATTAGTATTCTTTCACAAAGGACATGATTAACAAGTAATTCTGAAAGATAAAAGAAGTGGATATCTTCGTGTTTAAAAGGGAGCAATGAGGAAAATTAAACTTGTAGCTTTGAGTCTGCAAAAAAACACCCTTGAATAGTTCATTCATGGCCATGAAAAACTACTCACAGTGATCCAGCTCCTTCGTCCTCCTGGGCAGAATCCTTCTCTTAAGTCTGTATTCTATATGTGCTGTCATGAACGCCCAGTAATCATTTCATCTCCCTTTGGTTGAAGTACCTTCTTCATTAGCAGTTCTGTGATTAATAAAAGTAAGTAAAATACTGTAGCTAGATTGTTACTGTTCATTTCCTCTCCTAGGCAATTTGAAAAGGAATGAAAGATCCTTTCTTGTAATTTATGAGCACAAAATAAATAATTTCCATGTCTTTGTAATGTATATAAATAAACAGTGAACAAAATATTGGTTAGTTTAGCCTTGGATTCATGGACAAAATAAAAATGAATTTAAAATTATGTAGACAAGCTTCCGTGCTCAGACTTGGATTTTAATGGATATAGGGATAAATCTTTTATTTTTAGTTATGGGTATCAAAACTCTTCGTAAAATAAAATAAAAGTATTAGAATATTTTATAATAAATAAAATGATTGATTAAAAAAATACATAATAAAGTTAATTTCTAATTCGAAAAGATGCAGTAAAAATGATATAAGATTTCCAGCGTCTAATAATTAATTAATTAATTTTGATCTGATTAAGTCGGGTTTTAGATGGGTATGCCACTATGCCCTATCCGAAATAATCAAATATATTACTTTAAAATTTTTAAAACAATTACATTTATATCGATACATATATAGAAAATCTAGGGTTTTACCTGAACATATCACTTGATACTCTCTTCGCTCTAGCCGCTCATGTCACTGTTATTCTGCTCTCTCTTGTGACTACCATACTAACTCGCGGGAGGAACAGCTTGCCCAAATGTCTTCCGAGTGCAGATCTACATCGCGCTGCAATTCTAGGTCATGCTCTCTTCCAAAGTGTCCTTTCAGATTTAGTGTTTCCATGGAACTTTAGAGGACATTATTTACGAGGATTACAAGTGGAGTTCTTTAATTCTTTTTTAGCATGTTAATGTTCGGCTGTTTCGAAGCAGTCCACTACTCTAATTTTTATGTTCTTCCTACCATAATATTGAGAGCTGTGCTCTGTGCTCAGCTTCTCATATTTGCTCCAATATTAGCTCTAAAACTGTTTTCTGGCAGTTGCTGACTGTAAGATAAAGTCATTCACTGTATTGTGATTCTTGAAACTGCAGAAACATTTGGGATAATCAATAGGGTTTCGGGTCGGATTGGATTTAGGTTACGGATACTTGAAACCCGATTCGGTTGGGTTTGAGTATAAAAATCCGTACACTGTATAGTACAAAACCTGATGCATGGATTCCATTGTCATCCCCCATTCCTAGAAAGCATAGGAAAGAAACTTCTTGCAGGGAAAGGAAACAAATTTCTACCCTAGTCACCACAACCATAGTATAGGGCTTGTGTTAAGGATGAGACTTCGTCCTAGCAATAGAGGTTAGTTTGAAGGGAAGGAGGTGGGTGAATTATAATTGTAAGAGTTTTTGAAATTTTTCAATAATTTTATTATTTATTTTATTTTTAGTTTTTAGTTTAAAATTTTCAATACTAGTTGGATTCTATTGAATAAGGATTTTTTTTATATATAAAATTGAATTGGTAAAGGTAAATACTGATGATCTTTGCAATAAGGAATCTATCAAAAGCAATATCAAATTTGAAGTTTAGGCACTAGCTTTGATTTTTTAAGCATCAATAATTCATGTGTGGTGAGAAGTTTTTTTCTAGGTTTGAAAACTCTACATGAATACATCTTTTCTAAAATTGTATTTAAGTTATTTGTGGCAATGCCTTAATTAGGTTGAAAAGTTTTTGTTCAGAATTTGTTTTATTTTTCTTAGTTATTTAATTTTTTATTTAGTTTTGGAATCTTGATGCTAGTTGAATTCTAGAATGACTATATTTAATAATGATATCTTTTCTACAAGGAGTAGGATTTAGGCCACTGATTAGTATAAATAGGGTCATCTAACTTATTTATTAGAACTTATTTGATTGTTCAAGAATTATTGATATTTAGAGTTTATTAAATCAAAATTTTCTGTACAATTTAGCTATAATTTTAGGATTTGTGAAATCTTTGTTTTTGCTATACATTGTATCACTCCCACTACAATGCTATTGATTTTCTGTCCTTTCAGATTTTAAATTGTCAAACTAAACAAAAAAGAAAGAAAGAAACCCTTCAATTCCTGCCTATAAATCTCCCAAAACGCTTGAGATTTTGTCTACAACTTCAACTTAGAACCTCTCAGCTTCAAGGGGTACTTCAGGTTCCTTCACATTCCTTTCTTTACTTGAATGGCTTGGTTATTGTAGTTGTTTGAAGTGAATTTTTATTTTTCTTTTAATTACTCGGTAGATTTTAATTTTGAAATGTGAGAATATTGCTTCTTGCCTTACTTATACTGCATGTATCATGTTTATGTGGTGTAAGTATATATGTTGTTCCTTTGTGCTGTGTTTTTGACCTAACATATGACGGTGCAATTATTACAAGCAGAAGTGTCGTTCTTTTGCTAAATTAACCTACGATGAATGGGAACAGAACTTCTACTCGGTGTTTGTTGAAGTCTAAGCACAGAAGAGTAGATGTGATTTGTGAATCTCCCAGAGGGTGTGGAAGATTTCCAGTTGTGATGGACTCAAGTGATTCTGAAGATGGCATTGGTGATCATTCACAGTTTCTAAAACGTCCTGTGATACAAGTTGTACCAAGAAAATACCCTCCTCCAAGGATATTGAAAGGATCTTTTGTCCAGCGAGATTTTCCTAGTGCTTTTCAGCAACAGGATTTGCTTTCTGCTTCAAAAGAGGGTTTACAAAAAGTTGTTTCTGCTACCAAGCCTATGGAGAAAGCTGCTGAGGAGATTGCCGGAAGGAAATGCCCTTATCTAGGGATGAACTCAAGTGATTGTGATGATATCAGTGATCATGGACAGTTTCCACAAAATCCAACGATGTCAAAAGCATCTTCTGCCCAACGAGATTTTTCTGCTTCAAAAGAGGGGTTACTAAATACTGTTTCTGCTAGCAATCCCAAAGAGAAAGCCGCTGCAGAAGCTGCCTCAAGGAAATGCCATTCTCCAGGTATATTGACAGACTTTTTGGCCAAGCAGGTTCGTCCTGCTGCAAAACAGAATACGTCTTCTGTTTCTAATGACATTTCAACCAATGACCGCCGGAAACAAAACTCTGTTTCCCAAGAAAATATCATAACAAATAGTTGCAGAAATCAGAATACTGGTTCTGTTTCTAATGACATTTTTCTGCGAAATGGGAAGAACGCTACTAGGGTAGTGGGTTTTAGGCCGAAGAGGTTTAATACTACTTTGGGCAACAAGGAAACTGGTCGGTGTCATCAAAAATCAAGTGCTTGTTGCGATAAAGTGAAGGAGGTCTTGAGATTGTTTCATCAAGTACTTGCCAAGCTCTGGAAAGAAAATGCAAGGAAGCCAAAAATGGAGAAAGACTACAACATCCCTAGACATGCAGCATTATTTCTTAAAGATCACCAAAAATGGATTAATACAAGCAAACGGGTAGGTCCTGTTCCTGGAGTTAACATCGGTGACAAGTTTCAATTTCAGGCTGAACTGAATGTAATTGGCCTTCATTGTCACTTTTATAACGGTATAGATTATATGAAGAAGAATGGGATCTCATTGGCCACTAGCATTGTCGTGTCTGAGCGGTATGCTAATAACAGGGAATCTTCCAATGTCCTCATTTATTCTGGTTCTGGTGGGAATCCAGCAGTTCGAGGTCAGCAACCACTTAAAGATCAAAAATTAGAACGAGGAAATCTTGCATTGAAGCACAGTATGGATTGTAGAACTCCCGTTCGAGTCATTTGTAAAGTAAAGCTCAAGAGTCCTCAAGCATCTTCCGTTGAAGGTACATGCAAGCGCAAAAATTTGAACCCAATTTATGTTTATGATGGTCTTTACACAGTTGAAAAATTTTGGGAAGAAAGAGGAGAATTTGGTAAACTTGTCTACAAATTCAAGCTGAAGAGAAATTTGGATCAGCCGTAGTTCCCTTGAGGATTTAGCAAGCAATTGCGGGCATGTTTTGATGGATGATATTTCTAATGCAAAAGAGAAGATGCCAGTTCGTGTTTTGAATATGCTTGACAATGAGAGGGCACCACTATTTAGTTATTTAGCAAATGGAACGTGTAATGTTGAATCCTTGTTAAGTGCTTGTGATTGGATTGACGGATGCTCATGTTCTAAAGATTGGTCATGAAAAATCAATGGAGGAGAATTTCTTAGCATAATCATCTTCATCGTGGCATCTCCATAGCTGTTATGATTTTCTATGTTTGAAGGAGTTCTGAAAAAGTACAATGCTCAGACTAATAAAAACCTGATAATTTGATTGTGATATCGTACTGAAATTTTTTAAAAGGTTTTATATTTTTTTATATAATTTAGATCAAGGTTTTTAATTTAATTTAATTTTTATTAATTATGATGTTTTTCTTATATTTAAGTATCCTTTAGATTATTTTTCATTGAATATTAATGAAATAAACATTTTAGACCATCTTCCCAACAATCTAAGGATGGTAGGTGTTTTAGAAAATAATTTGAATTTTTTTTTTGTTTTAAATTAATATATTTTTAATGTTTTTAAATTATTTTGGTGTGTTGATTATAGAAATAATTTTTAAAAAATAAAAATAAGTTATTAATATATTTTTTAAAATAAAAAATATTTTAAAAAGTAATACTAACCATACTCTTCAACGCAAACTTAGAACTTTGTGTTGAAATCTCAGAACCTGAGATATTCCATTTTCTCTCTATAATTTCAGTTATTGAGACTTTTAAGAATCGAGTAACTTATTAGAAGGGATAATTATAAAAAAATCTAATATATTTACAATGAGAACTTGTTGCGGGCATTTTCAACTTTAAGGAATGGCCGGTAGAAAGCTAGAACAGCGATGTGGAGGTGGAATTGGTCAAGAATATTTGAATTGTGGTGTCTTTTTTTTTATTTCTAATTTTTATGAGCTATTAGCTGGCCCCATCAATTCCTGTCAAGATAAAATAAAATAAATTAGTTATTGATTGCTAATTAGTTGAGCATTTAGAATCACAGTAATTTTTGTTTTTTTACACTTTTCGAGGGTGCATTTTACTTTAAAAATTATGAAATTAATAATTTTGATATACTAATACTGAAAATCTTATACATAGAGTGTATTTCGAGAGTTTTCTCGATATGCTAGCATAAGATGTCATGTAATGCAAGTTCGGCGCTTGAAATCAAGAGGAAAAGGGTACATGAAGAGAGAAGTTGGAGAAGAAGAGAGGTCGATATGATCTTGCCTGGAAACAGGTGGGAAGGGGTGTGATTGGGTTCACATGTGGGAACAGGAAGAAAGTCATCAAAAAATAAAAAATTATTTTAATTTATTTTTAAATAAAAAATATTTTAAAAAATAATCAACAATACATAATTAATCTGAGAGAGCCCATCTCCTGCTTGGAAAGTTGAAGGGTGGTAAAGCTACTATGATCTTTTCTCATGCAAAGATGGGTGTAATACTGTAAAGAGCTTGGTGGTCCTTGTTCTTTTCAATTTGTGGTAATATGGTCCCTCATCATATAGTTCTTTCTAATGTGGTGCTTGTATCCACTTCCTTCTCTGATGATGTTAAACTTGGGATACAGTATTCTTTTTCTCAATTCTAAAAAAGAAAATGAAAATATTAAAAAATTAGAAGAAGAAAAAAACAAGAATCATGTGCTATTAATTCTAAAAAAAAAAAAATTAGTCTCAATTCCTGTCAAGATAAAATAAAATAAATTAGTTATTGATTGCTAATTAGTTGAGCATTTAGAATCACAGTAATTTTTGTTTTTTTACACTTTTCGAGGGTGCATTTTACTTTAAAAATTATGAAATTAATAATTTTGATATACTAATACTGAAAATCTTATACATAGAGTGTATTTCGAGAGTTTTCTCGATATGCTAGCATAAGATGTCATGTAATGCAAGTTCGGCGCTTGAAATCAAGAGGAAAAGGGTACATGAAGAGAGAAGTTGGAGAAGAAGAGAGGTCGATATGATCTTGCCTGGAAACAGGTGGGAAGGGGTGTGATTGGGTTCACATGTGGGAACAGGAAGAAAGTCATCAAAAAATAAAAAATTATTTTAATTTATTTTTAAATAAAAAATATTTTAAAAAATAATCAACAATACATAATTAATCTGAGAGAGCCCATCTCCTGCTTGGAAAGTTGAAGGGTGGTAAAGCTACTATGATCTTTTCTCATGCAAAGATGGGTGTAATACTGTAAAGAGCTTGGTGGTCCTTGTTCTTTTCAATTTGTGGTAATACGGTCCCTCATCATATAGTTCTTTCTAATGTGGTGCTTGTATCCACTTCCTTCTCTGATGATGTTAAACTTGGGATACAGTATTCTTTTTCTCAATTCTAAAAAAGAAAATGAAAATATTACAAAATTAGAAGAAGAAAAAAGCAAGAATCATATTGTGCTATTAATTCTAATAAAAACAAATAAATTAGGAAAATATTCAAAATAATTCTCACTCCCACTATATATTTCTACCTAGCTAATGTTTCAAAACCCGGATTGCAAGCTCAAGAACAAATCCATATGGCGAGGTTAATTAAGAATCCAGGTTGTGAGCTCAAGAACGAGTCCAAAACCATAGTTGTTACTTAAGAAAATAATAGATCATTTCTTGAATTTTGAAACTGATTATGTATTCTTTTCACGAAAATCATCTCAATTAGGCTTAAAAATGTATTGGTCGAAGGGCAGGTTCATGAGAAGAAGAAAAATAAAATAAAAAAGAGAGTCCATAAACTATGTATATGATCATTGATATGTTACTTCCTTAAAAATGTATTGGTCGAAGGGCAGGTTTATCTGAAGAAGAATAATAAAATAAAAAAAGAGAGTCCATGAACTATGTATATGATCATTGATATATTACTTCCTGTTCTTGTAGGCCAAATTGAAGGGAGAAATGGAGGATGAGAGAAACTAACATAACCACAAGAGCTCACTCAACTGGTTTTTCATATATTAATATATATATATTTGTAAGGGTAAACTTAGCTATAGCATATATATATATATATATATATATATATATAAAAGCCACTAACGATAAAAATAAGATGCAAACTCACTCAAACTACATACTATATCAATATATATAGCTCCCACACCATGCAAACACTATATATAAGTAGAGTGAAACATGGCACTTCGTCGGCTAAGACAACATTTTCACACATGGACTCCAAGCCGATTCGCTCACCCATGGTTGGTTCTCTTTCGAGGATCAGATCGTGATTGTGTTCCGTAGCTACTAGGTCCACCACTTCCTCCACCGCTGCCACCACCAGCGGAATTACCAGACCCACTTCCAGCACCGTATCCGCCACCTTGAGCACCACCACTCCCAGTCCCATAACCATAACCTGAGCCCGACCCGCTTCCAGAGCCTGACCCATACCCAAAACCCTTACCGAACCCAGTCGGGGACCGACCTGAACCAGACCCATAACCCCATCCACCATTTGGAGTCGAACCCCATCCCCAATTATAGTCCCAGTTAGGCCCGTGGCCCGAACCACTAGCCCCTGAAGGGGGGCCCGTCTGCCCATCAGGCACTGTAGACATCTCAGGAGAGGCAAATCTCTTGTCACCTACAACCACCCTGTTGGACGGACCACCAATATTACGGGCAAAAGAGCCTCCGGCGATCAAGAAAAGAATAAACAGAGTGAAACGAGATAAATTGGGCTGCATTATTTTTCTAATGGCTTTGTGGCTATGCTTCAAGGTATATATGATGAGGCAATGTGAAATGATCAAAGTAGAGTCGTGACTTAGGTATAGTAAGGATATTATAGTGGTATTTATAGTGGGTATTGATGCTGACAAGGGGTCACCCGTGAACGTTTTAACCTTTTGAAAATGGTGCACATGTCATTGTGTGAGAGTATTTCACTCACGATTATGCTCTTCTTCACGATATTGCACCACCGACTTCCAACTAAAATATTTCAGCTTCTTGAGACTAACGTGTTCTTATCCTTAACTCTCGCAATCAAGTGAGTGAACTAATGGTTTGTGTCCGGCAAAAAAAAATTGAATAGATAATTATGGGTAAAATTAATTTAGAAGAAGATTGTTGGCTCGGAATGTTGATTGTGTTTGGTTAGAGATCATTCTTGAAAAATCAATTCAATTTAAAAATTTTAATTATTAATTGAGATTTCAAAATAAAATTTATATTATTTTATAACATATCTTTTTAGATAAAAACATTTTAAATTTTAAATTTATATAAGCTTATACTATCTTTTATTTTATTTTTATTGAATAAATATGAATAATAAAATTTAAATTTGTAATTATTTAGTTATTAAGATTTTAGTACCATATCGATTAATTAATTAATTAAAAGTTTACAATATAATTTATAATATTCTTTAAATAATAATCGGAGAATGTAACAGTAAATGTAGTTTAAAGTGAGAGTTTTTAGCATGGCTAGAATCGCATCGGTTGGTTCTTCCCTTAAAAGACCTTCTTTGAGCCCACTAAATCAATCGTCTCGACGCATCTCAGAATCAAGGCATGGGCAATGATCCTGCCACAATGCTTGCATCTAATATTCTTGCGGGGCAGAAGCAGTACCATGCATGTTGGGAGAAGCTTTTCATCAACTAATTCAACATGTCAAATCAAGAAAATTAATATTATTTAGTACATAATTAATTAAGTTACTTCATTGAATTTAGGGATACATCAAGCATATACCATATCCAACACGAAACCCTGAAACACATGGAGTGATTTATTCGTTACGAGGTACCACATCTGTGAAGACAAAAGAAAAATTGTCATTGATTTCAAAAACCAGATGGTTTCAAAATACTACCATTGCCGGAAAACATTTGCCACCGCAATAACATTGACCAAATTTTTTCCTGAAATATTAATGAATTTTTAATTAATTTTTATGATATTAATCCACGAAATTTTCTCGTCTCTAAATTGTTTTGGTAACTATTGACAGGAATATATCATTAATATATATTAAAAAAATTCCAGTAAAAATAAAAATAATAAAAAATTAAATAATAATAACATATAAGTTTTTACAGCATCGCGATAATAGAGTTAAACCTCTAAGAATATTTTAATAGAAAAATTTTATTGATATATATCAATAAAATTATAAAAAATATTACAATATAATTTAAAAGGATAAATTATAT